GCCGCCTCCTGCAGGCAGCGCCGCCGCGTCACCTCCCGAGGCGGACGCGGAAATAACGGCCCGTCTATCCCGGGACTCGCTCGCTCGCGTCATGGAGGAAATGCGGACACGCGACCCACGGGCTCGTCTTGGGCGAGCGCCCTGCCTGCCCGACGCTTTACGGTGCTATCAAGTGGATTCCCGGGAACGGACCGCGTCCGCACTCGCACGAATTCCTCATGCGAGCACGCAAATCGGGCGCGAGGCGACGGCAAAGCGCTGGGAGCCAGAGCGAGGTCTAACGCGAACTTGGTGAGCGATTGCGAATTCCTTGCCGGCCTCATCTGAGACTCAAAAGTAACGCCGCATAATATTTAGCGCGAAATCATAGAGTGCGAAAAGAAACGAGAGCACACTACGGGAAACCGTCGCCACTACCATCGCCGACCCTGTCATGCAAGTGCACGCGTGTCTGACACGCCACAAATGGTCCTTAGAGACCAAACTTGCGCAACATTACCGTTCGATGTGTCTGCTATAACTGCGTCTTAGCGAAGCCGAGCCAGTCATCCTCCGGCGCTGGGGCGTCCCTGACCTCAGAGACGTCTTCTACTGATCGAGCTAATTTCAGAAGATATCCTCGCAGCGCCCCGTGGCCATCCTGCCTTGGCACCCGCGGGTCCACTTCACAAACGATACACGAACAAGTCTCCCCCCCCCTCCATCCTGCCCCTGAGGGCCCCTCCTCGCCGTGGCCTCGCCTCCGGCGCTGCTCGAGCTGCCGTGTGTTCGGGAAGCTACGAGCTCTTTGAGCCAGCGAATGCAACCTGATTTCTTCACTAAATAAAGGTCTCGAATCCCGTCATGGCGAGCTGGACGTGGCGAGTAGCCGTCGGGAGCGACTCCCGAAAACGAATCAATGGATCCCGTCCGGGTTGGCCGCCGCCGCCGCCGTCGCCGCCGCGCCCACGTGCATGGCCGATTGTCCTGGCAACTATCGTGCACACATCCGGAAACAAATACAGTTTTTTTATTCTCTGTCAATCTTTACTTCATACTCACTAACGTAGAGACTATATCAAACACTTAGTTTGTATTTCACAAGAACTAGATTTCCCGCCAGAACAATGTTGACATGCTGCGGGCAGTAGGCCAATCTTCGAATACGGCTTTAAATGGCATCCACAAATGCCATATCTACGTAGGAGGACAAGAAACTGCTGAGACTATACTAGGCCTCCCCCTCCATCCCGAAGACATCTCTCGTCTCAAACTTGATCAGATCGACCACCAAAAATTAAGAGCAAAGAAAGAGACCGTAACGACATCAGCCAAGACCTACTTAAGCCTGCGTTATGCGCCGAGGCCCCGTGCGGCGGCCGAGACTCTCGTTCGGGGGAGGAGACGGATCATCACCTGAGGCGCCTCCGCACTTATCTCCACGGACAATGGATACAGCCTTTCCTTGGCATGTACTTGCTATAACGAGGCCTAAGCCACGTCTCCCGAACTGCTGAATAATGTCTTAGTTCTTACGTCACTCCCCCTCCGCCCCGCCCTCCTCCCCCTTTCCCCTAGTCACCTGACAGACCGGGATGATGGGCACTGGACATCACCCAAGGCCGCCGCGCGTGAGGCGTGCAGCCCCACAGACACCAAGGATCAGGGACCACCTGCACCCGGAGGACTGATTGCTACATCGAAGTACCTAATGTGTCAACTAAGGTTTTATTTCTAAGGCGTGCTCTGAGACCGGCAAACTACATCAATTAGTGCTAATAAACAGTATACAAATTCAATCTGGTTTATACTGGTTCTCTCCGTTATCAGAATGTTGAATATACTAGTACTGATCCAAAATACAACTGGCGCAAGACATAAGGCATAGAGATATAAAGTCAAGACAATTTATATACGAGTAAATGCAAGTGAGAATAAAAATAAAGATGAGTAAAAGGTAGAAAAAATTATTGCGTTAGTCACCAGGAATTAATGTAAAATGATCAGATAAACCTATTCGATGCACAGATTCGAAGCTGCAATGCAAATTCCAACAGTTTTGCAAGTGTAGACTGCAGACAAGATGAACAATAAGGAAAAATAATTAAGCGAAAGTGCAAGGTTGTGGTACCGGCGCTCCACGTGACCCGAGAGAGGGGGAGGGGGGGAGGGCGGGAGGAGAGGGAGGAGCTGGGGGGAGGGCAGGAGCAGGGGGAGGAGGGGCGGGAGGGGCAGGAGCAGGGGGAGGAGGGGGGAGGAGGGGCGGGAGGAGAGGGAGGTGGGGCGAGAGCAGGGGGAGGAGGGGAGGAGGAGGGGCAGGAGCAGGGGAGGAGGGGAGGGAGGAGAGGAGGGGGGCGGGAGCAGGGGAGGAGGAGGAGGGAGGAGAGGAGGAGGGGCAGGAGCAGGGGGAGAGGGAGAGGGAGGGGAGGGAGGAGAGAGGGGGGGAGCAGGGAAGAGGGGAAGGAGGGAGGGGGAGCAGGAGGAGGGGAGGAGGAGGGGCGGGGAGGAGAGTTGAGGGAAGAGAGCAGTAGTAAAGGGAGAGACAAGGAGAGAAATGACAGGCAGAAGGCAAGGGAGTGAAGAGGGGAGAGAAAAAGAGATGAAGGAGAGAGGACGAAACGAAAGGGAAGATTGGCCATGTAAGAACCTATAGTATAAAGACCTTGGAGAAAGGTAGAGAGGGAGAGATAGAAAGACGAAGGTAGAGAGGGAGAGATGGGAGGGGAGAGAGAGTGTGAGAGGGAGAGGGAGAGGAGAGGGAGAGAGGAGAGAGGGAGGGAGAGAGGGAGGGAGAGAGGGAGGGAGAGGGGGAGAGGGAGGCAAAGCAGGAGCAAGAGAGAGTGGAAGAAGTGGGCATAGGGACACATGGGGGTACATGAAATAAATACCAAAGAACATGGCAGCCATCCAAAGATTGAATATATTTTCGTCTTCATAAAAAAAGCTTTACGTGTCAGATAAGGCAAAGTCAAGCAAGTGTTCGGCCCAGGAGATGAACTGTAATGAGAACACGAAGCGACGACGACAAGTAGAAACAGAAATACTACGGTCTCAGAGAGTGACCCCTGCTGTTGATGTGAAGGAGCGAACTACTTCTCATAAGCCAAGTTAATCAAGGGACCCAGGTACGCATGCAGTTGTCCTGAATCAGCAGAGTGAGTAGGAAAAAATCGGGAATTCCCTCGTCATGCACACCTCTCACTATCGAGTGGAACAACAGGCTGGAGCGCAGGGCAGTGACGTCCTTTAATTTCTATCAAAACGAGCCAATCAAAGGTGGAAATCATAAGAGGGTACGCCAAATTCACGAATTACTCACCCTTGCTATTCACGACTTCGGAATCAAACGGGCCTCACTTCAGATCTCACAACGAATTTTTCCCGACCTGCTCCGCGGGATTACCTTCAAGTAACAATGAGGACAACAGAAACCATACTTCACTATAACCTCGACGGTAAAAGCGGGGCATCGTGTTCAACATTAACTACCCAAATCCGACATTCTAATCGCCCTTGGCGGTACGACCCCTTTACAGGCCGTGATGCCAAGACCGCCTTCTCCTCGCCAAAGCCCGTGGATGAAAGTGCAGCTACGATGAGACACAGGAGTTACTGCAACAGGATTTCGGTTGCCGAATTACTGTACTACGATGTATCGACAGGAACTGAAATCAAGCTTGGCATTTTCATCCAGAAACAAGTATTGTTTTAAATTCTCTCCCAGACATCAAGGCAGATCCTTTCAATGGTTCATTCATTCACACACATGCGTGTGTGTATGTGTTCATCCCCAGGGTAGCACTTTCCATTCCCAACAAAAATTAAAAGTGAAATTAAATAAAACCCTCTAGATATCACTTCCATAAACATTAAAAACGCATGTTAACGTATGGGACAGACGGAGAGGGAGAGGGAGGAGAGGGGGATAGGGAGAGGGAGAGAGAGACGATACATGAACACACATACGGCCTGATGTGCCTACGCACGTGTGTAGCACTGTTTACCTTCGAGCCAGACCCGGCGCCCGAGTAAGGCGATTGTTATGGGCGAGGTAAGGCGATTGTTATGGGCTCTCCCGAGGCCAAAGCAGCCGCAGACTTTCAAAACTCATTACATAAATACACTTAACACACACAGCAGAAACATAATTCTTAGATAGTCAGACAATCGCAGACACCACTGACTGACTGGCTGACAGACAACACTCAGATACAACTGACTGACACACAACACTCGCAAGCACTGACTGATTGACAGATAACAGACAACACTCACAGGCACCACTGACTGACAGTTGACTGGCTGACAGACAGACACACAACTCTCACAGGTGTCACTAGCTGACAGATAGACACACCTCTCACAGGTGTCACTGGCTGGCAGACAGACAGACAGACACACACACACACAACTCTCACAGGTATCACTGACTGACAGACAGACACGCACACACAACTCTCACAGGTATCACTGACTGACAGACAGACACGCACACACAACTCTCACAGGTGTCACTGACTGACAGACACACACACACACTAAACTCTCACAGGTGTGACTGACTGATAGAGACAGGCACACACACACAACTCTCATTGACTGACAGACAGACACACACACAACCACTGACTGAGGCACAGACAACACTCACTGACATACACAGCACTTTACACTGCATGACAGAAAATAACATATAATACACACAATCATCACACAATCACTCGCAACAAACACACACACAATCACTCGTACAAACACACACACACATCACTCGTACAAACACACACAACAATCACTCGTACAAACACACACACAATCACTCGTAACACACACACACACAATCACTCGTACAAACACACACACAATCACTCGTACAAACACACACACAATCACTCGTACAAACACACACACAATCACTCGTACAAACACACACACAATCACTCGTACAAACACACACACAATCACTCGTACAAACACACACACAATCACTCGTACAAACACACACACAATCACTCGTACAAACACACACACAATCACTCGTACACACACACAATCACTCGTACAAACACGTACACAATCACTCGTACACAAACAATCACACACAGAAATAATCACACAAAAACGGCACAAACAATCGCATTGCCATCAACATTATGCCCAAACTACACACAACACACCGAACAATTCCACTACTCTCACAAACACATCCGCTTTAATTGACAACACACACCGATATCAACAAACATGTTTATATTGGTATTTACAGCCTGGCTGGCGAGCGGTGCACAGGGTCGCGGCCGGGCTCGGGGCCTCTCGAACCCGCACCGCCCGAGGCAAGACCCACCTGAAGAATTTCCTACCAGTCACCTGCCACCTCTATCCAGGGACTGCTCTTCCTGTAACGAAACTTGTACAGCCCTGCCCACTTTCCACTTCGAGGTAACTGCAATTTTGGGTTTACGTTTTCATCTGGGAGAAGGTTCTTTTCCCTTAATGAAGGTACGGCAACCACAGGCTGCATACACAAGAATGTAATGAAACCATTGGGAAGATATATAACGTATGGGATAACTATTTCTCGAAGAATCTTCCGCTGTAAACTGTCCAAACGATATTCTGGCATTTTGACTCCGCTCCCATACCGGTACCTCCACATGGGTCACCTGACAGTTCCCACTTTTCATGACAACTTCCGCCACACTCGTTTTCACACACACAGCTTTCGTCACTCATCTTACCTTCACTTTCCTCTAAGCTCTGTAAACAAGTTTTCTTAGGAAACGTCCGTCTCTCGCCGATACAATTTAAGGAATCCTAAGGAAGCGGTCTTAGGCTTCCTACATTTGTAACCACCAGTGGAACACAACTCGCCTGTGTCAGCGGGGACACGAGAGGTTTAAACGCCGCGCGACGCCCCTCTGATGACGTCATAGTTCTAGCCGTTTCGCATTTCATCATCTATGTCAGCATAGACTATCGAGCCATCTGAATTATCAATTCACCCTCTTCATTATTTCGCTTTTATCGCTAAGTACCACTACAGGGGGTCAATAGAGTGTTGTTTAATAAATTAAATGATGTAAATAATGCCGACTGCCAACTTTTTCGATGACGTGTCCGTTGCATGAGTCGAGGTAGCCCCGCCCACCGCCTCCCATTGGCCGCCGCGCGATGGTACGATCTCGCGGCGCAGTCCCACCTCCGCAGGAAGAGGAATGCCTCGGAATATTTCACCCGCGCCCTTCTAGCCCTATGGTGGAAGGTTCAAATTGTCATGCCGAGCGAGTAAATTCCGAACAGGACGTTTGTACAGAGGCACATAAAAAGGAGCCCTATGCTGGAGGATCTTCGG